ACCGCTCTCGTCTGGCGGAAAGGCTGAGCATGTGGGATCTCATGTGGCCACCCAAAGCTCTGCCATTGACGAAGCTCTTGAAACAGAACCTGCACTTGTACCTCTCCATCCCTCCAAAAGACCGAACCCTAAAACACCATGAGAAGAAAGAGAAAGGGAGAGCTTTTGGGTATCTTATAAAGAAGCAAAGGAGAGGAGAAGAGAGAAGTAGAAACTACAAGGAGAGTAGGTGACAAGCATTCCTTCCTCTCCTCCCACCACCAAAGAGAGCTATTTCGTACAAACAAAAAAATAAAAATAAAAAAAAACCTAAACTAAGATTTACTTAATTACGATTTCTGTATAAATATAAATTTTTTTTGTTAAAAGGAAACGGAAAAAGGGAAGAGTAGTTTTAATAATAAAAGAAATCTAATTAAAGCGTATGCATGAAGGGTGAAGAAGCGACAATGTAACATGCGAGCCTTGCCCGTTTCTGCAACTCTCCGCCCTTCCGTTTTTTTTTTCTTAATTTCCCATAATACCCTTCTCAACCATCCATCTTAAAAATAGTCGTAGTTTCCTGTTTTATGCCCCGAGAGACCCGGTACGCTATAAATATACAATTAGCTGCACTCTCTTCGTGGGTATTTCCGGTACTTCGTCTGTTTTTTATTCCTCCCACAAACGGCTTTGATTGTTATTTTGTTCTCTTTCTCTCGATCTCGAAATGGTTGGTTTGGTTTGTAACGACGGAGCAGGTCAAACGCCGTCGTTTCAACGTGGAGAAAATGTTATCATGCCGTGACTGTTAAGTTGGATGTACGTGACAGCCACGTGGCGGCTTTGATATAAATACCGACACCGAGCAGTGACTTTATCTCCCGCATCTACAAGTATTTTTCTGAAAAAGAAGAGAGAAAAACGGAGATTCTGCGTCCCACTCTCTTTTTTGGGGGCTTCGCCAACTGTCACTGCAACTTAAATCTAATCCAAACGAGTTTAATACTAATTGCTGAATTAGGGATTTAATAACAAAACTAATCACATTGCTCCTCTTGATTTTGGGTCCTTTGTAGTTGGGATTTCATGAGGAGACATGCGATTAGGGTTACTAATCACTTGGCTTATGTATGCGTATATAGACGGGTCCAATTAATATTTCCATTTTATTTTTGGGATTATTAATAATATATGGAAAATAAATCATATCAATTGGAATGCATAAAATTATTTTTCATTAATTATATTACGAGTTAATTTTAATAATAAAGGATTGATCACAGATTTTCAAGGCTAGAGTTGGGTGGTTTTCCATCTACCAATTTACCACTTGTGACTTTTTTTTATGTCTGGAGATTTCGGCCTAACTTGGAAACTGCTTGGTCCGTCTTTTGCGCAATTATATCTCCATCTTCTTCCGAAACTTGCTTTTTCTAAATTCCCATTTTCTCCGGTCCAAACATTACTCTCTAATCCTTAATTAATTAAGATCCAATCCCACCAAAAAGGGGGAAATTTCAAGATTAATTGTAATTAGATACTAATTGCTAAATCAGCAAATCTTTCTCATGCTTAGATTCACCACCAAGCCCGTGTATTCAGTTGCATGATTATGAATATGGTTTCGGCCATTTTATCAATTATGGGCCTAGCCCAAATAACTTGAGCGATTGGGTCAATACCCAAACAATCATATAATATGTTATTTCTTATGTTGTTCATATCCAATAAAACCTTCCCCCATGGGCTTACACTACATTAGTACATGTATATAATAGAAGCCCGCATCACTATCTGTGTAACATTAAGGGATCGATCCATGTTTTGAGAATCTAAAAAAAAAAGGCCTTATGATTGATTAAGTAAAAGATAAGAGTTGCAAATGGTAATCATTCCCTCGATCAATTTGCCGATACAGTGATTCATTATTCATACATACATTACATACCACTCTTTGTGTACAAAAAGCCAAAAACCTTTTACCGACAGGCACAAAACGACAGAACCAAAGAGAGAATCAAAAATTAAAATCTACAGTAAGATTCGGTTGTGTTTAGGGTGATGGACGATTTGTCGAGATTTGATCTCTTCGGCGCATCGTAATGCCCTCTCGATCTGGAAACCTCCTCCGAAGCTCACTTCTCTCTCCAGATGGCAACAGTAGCTCTCGAACACGCTGACATTCACGTGCAGTTTGAACCCCATCAGGAACAGGAACTCCACTTCCATTCTGTTCAAGTCCTCTGTCTCTAATCCCCCCACTTTCGCCATGTACGAGTTCCTGTAATTCCTGTTTCACGGAGAAGAATGCTATAATCAGTGATTATAGAGCTTGATCTGTAACCCAAATTCTGATTCGATTCGATTTCCATAACATAAAAGAGAGTTTTTCAAATGGGTCTTCCTCTTTAGTCATCAGAGATTACAAAAGTTCGAACTTTTTCGATGAAATGCAGAAGATATACAGACGTATATACATATATATATATATATATATATATAGAGAGAGAGAGAGACTTACATGTCTTCGACGTATTTGGATGAGACCATGATGGTAGTGATGAGGAGGCGGTGGACATTCCTGGGACTGATCCTGAAACCGGGATTGGTCTGACAGAACCGGTCGATGTAAACATAAGCAACGACGTAAACCGACGGACCGGCTTTGGTGTACCGGAAAATCCTCTCAAGGTACGATTGGATCGTCATGTCGGGAACTTCTCGGCAGTCGAAGACACGTGTCTTTCCGTCCCTCGAAGCCCATCTGCAGCTTCCCGTGATTCTCTCGTTCCGGGCAAGAGTTCGTTCGATCAGGGAAGACAGAACCGATATGACCAGCGGCATGTCCTGATCGTCTTGGTAAGAGCGAGAGTACAAATCTGACCGGAGCTTTCTCGGAGATATCGCAACTGAATTCGACGCCGCCATTTCTTCGCCGGAAAAAAATAACCAGAGCGAGTGGTTTTTTTTATGGGAAGTGACGATTTTTGTTTGTCGTTTAGTACGGGGGACTGTTTTTTTTTTTTTTTTTTTTAATTTTAATTTAAATGTTTATTTGTGTGTGATGATGAAATTGAAATGAAAGAGAGGTTTTGTGAGGTTTATATACTGTTGAGATGTAGGGCATGCACCTTCCGTCTCCCTTCTCTCCCTCTGATTTTTATTTTATTTTTGTATAGCTAAGTGTTATTTAGAAACTATATTATATTTTAAATCAAATACTGTTCGTGCAAGTACGGTAGTTCATGTTTTGAACCGTAATACGCATGTTTATGTACCAATATTCCAGATTTAAAATCTGATTCCTCCGGTATATAAATTAATATTCTCTAACAATTTGTTAACGAAAAAATGTGTAATATTATAAGTTAATAAGGTTATTACAACCCGATATTATACGTTAATGCCGATATAACTCGACGTCAACAAATGGACATCTCATTTTGATATACATTTATTAATTGGTGCCTTTTCTTCTCATTTATAAGGTACCATTTTATAATATTTTTCTGAATCAATTAGAAAAAAAATCATGATTTAAGGAGATTTTAAAAACGGGATTTTATCGAAAAGAGAGGCGACATTGGGTTTTGGAGTAATCTGGAAGGTGAAGAGAAGATCCCAAAGAGTCATTAAACAACGAAATATGTAACAAGATTTTGTGTGCCTCCGTTTCGTAAGCCAATGTACAGATATCACAGCTCACCAATGTTTATAATAATATATTTCGGATACACATATAATATATATTTGAATACATAACAATTTTTATTTAATTCAAAAATCCAAATTACCTCTCTCTCTTAATTTAAAAAACATATGTAATTAAACAAGCCTCCGCCGACAGTGGTGTAGTAGGGGCACGAACGCAGAGAGGGTTAGCCGCGGAGAGAGTCTCTGGTGGAGCCCGAGGGTTTACTGCGGTGGGACCCACGTATTTGAGTGTGATTTTTTGCTCTGACGTGGAGCTCGAATGACCGACCACACAGCCAACTTACACGTGCGGGTTGCTCCTTTTGCACAACGCACATGGTTCTCTTTCTCAATCTGTAATCCATGCTTATTGATTTTGTTTTATTTTTAACCAAATCCATTTCGACTACTACAAACTTTACAAAGCGTTACTGAAAAAAACTCAATTATTTGATGTTTGTATGTTGACAAGCATATACAATAATTTAATCATATGTCTCATTATTCTTATCCTAACAATTAAAGGCGTGTTATTGTTTAGCAATTTCGGCAATTTTTCATATAGGAATTAATATACAATAATAATAAACGTCAAAAAAATAATAAAGTACAAGTAATAAATTGTCAGCCGAAAATGAAGCTGCCGCCACCGCACCGCTACAAAGCCGTGGCGTTTAATGCAAATAGGGCCCCTCGTCTCCTCTTCATTACAAAAAATATTGTCAATTCATCTATATATGCTTTCTCTATGTGTGGGTGATCTATTCTTTATACTTTATTTGCACCCCCACTTTATTCATTACATTAGCATATGATTTTTAAATTTTTTATCAACCGACTACTTTCATATTCAAATATAGCTCGTTGGATGTGCATGCCTTTTTAGATGTAATGTGCATATTAGGAATATAATTAATATCAATTTTTTTTATTTTTTTAGATTCAGTATCCTTATTACGTACAAATTCTTTGTATACATATATATTTCTATAGTAGAATAAAAAACGTAAAAAATTACTATGTATTTTTTTTAATAATTCGAGGTCTAATTAAATAAAACTTGAAAAAGAGCGTTTAATTGTTACTCATTTTGAAAAGATCAAAGGAAAAAAAACATGTTACTTAGGGTGAAATATGTGCATAGGTGGTGGTGCCAAAAGATGTACGTGCAAGCAGTGGAGTTATGTCTACTCTGTGGCCGTACATGTAATGCCAGTCTCCATCACCTTTGGTTCATTAGATATGAGACACTCTCTGCACCTTACACCCTGCCAAATCTCTCTCTCTCGATCTCGATCTAAGTGGTCGGTTACCCGTACCATGGTACGAACAACTCGAGAATCTTCATCCCTCTTTCCC